CCTCAGTGTTGCGCCTGCACCTCGCTCAGCCAGTGAGCGGCCGGTCTGTATGTGGGATCCAAACCCTCGGCGGGAGCGCCGCCGCGCTCCCAAGTGGTGCACTGTAGCAGTGCACCACCGGGCCGGCCTGAAATACAATTGATTTTTGTATGTTAACCTGTGTGCAGCAAACTTGCTAAGCTTATTCATTAAATCTAACCATTTATCTATAGATTTAAAAATATTTTCTAAAAAAAAATAAAAATAAAAATAAAATAAATAAAAATAAAAATATTTTCTGCATACAATTATGCCATTAATAAATAATGACAATTTTATTTTTTCCTTTTAAATTATTATACATTTTGTTTTATTTCTTTGGTTTTTCACAATGGAAAGAACCGCCAGAGCCATGTTAAATAAAGGTGGTAGTAGTGATCACAGGGAAAGTTTCAATATTTCACCATTAAGTTTTATGTTTGCTATAGGTTTCTTGTATATGCCCTTATTTGGATTGGGAAGTTCCCTTTTAGTCCTAGTTTGCAAAGATTTTTTTTTTGTCATGAATGGGTATTGAAGCTTATCAAATGCATTTTTTGTTATCTGCTGAGTTTGTCATATAATTTTTCTCATTTGTTTTGTTAATGATGAAAAGTACATTGATTTTGTAATATCAAACCAAATTTACTTTTTAAGAATAAATTCAACTTGGTGGTGATATATTATCTTTTTATATATTTATTGCTGGGTTTGGTGTTCTAATAGTTTGGTAGAATTTTTGCATCTATATTCATTGTATCAAACCTGTAATATTCCTTTCCTGTAAGGTCCTTGTTGGGTTTTGGTGTCAAGGTTATACTGACTTCATAAAAGGACCTGGGAATCTTTTCTACTTTTTCCGTTCTGTGGAAGATTTTGTGTAAGTTTAGTGCTCTTTCTTCCTTAAACGTTTGGTAGATACAGAAATTAGTCCCAGGAGTAAGATGCTGCTGCAACTACAGCAACACATTCCAAATTATGTGGCATCAGCAAAGAGTCTGGCAGCATGAAATTGTTATTGAAAACCTGAAAAGATGGCAGTCCATGTTATGCAGTGGAAAAAATTCATGAAACTGTAGTCTGGAATAGATTAAATGGCATATTATATACTTAATGAGCTTGTATTTTATGCAAAGAGGTAGAAAATGAATGTTCTTAGAATGAGCTCATTACTACTGGCTGCAAGGTACTACTACAAGAAATAGAGGAGCACAGAAAATATTTGGCTGGTTTGCAAGCAGGAATGAAAAGGAATTTAGAGCCCCCAAACTCAGGGACTTGCAAGATTGGAGGGAGAAACTGATTCACGTCTTCAACTTAAAGAAAAAACTGAGAAGTCTTTTGAACAACAAATGCTGCTTAAGACTCTGCCTAGTGGCAAGGACCATGTCAAATGTGGCTGTCACACCATTGTTAGGATCTCTGAATGGAACAAGGTGGCACCCAACAAATACTTTCATCGGAAAAATGAAAGGCAGACTTAGGGTTTGACTCTTCCTAAGGAATCCTGATAGGCTCAAAATACCTCTAATTACTTTTAGAAAGAGAGAGGAAATGTCTCTAACAACTGTGGCATATAGCACTGCTTAGAATCAAGTAAATAACTTGAGATATACGTGAGAATGCGGTATTGTCAAAAGAATCACTTGTGTGGTTTAATAGAGAATGTGATTGAGACTGAAAAATAATAATTGGGCCCCAGCTGTCTATTGCAGGATTTCAGAATTTCTATGAACCTTTTTATATGTCATCATTATTCTTTAAAAATGGTAATACTGGAGGCAGGGCAAGTTGGAGGACTAGAGATGGTCAAGGCATGTTCCCCTCACAAAAAAGGACCAGAACAAGTAACAGACAGCTAGATATCAATGGAAGCATCTGTGGGAGAGCACAGGAGTGCAACAGGAGACAGTTGAGGTCCCTGTGGAGCATGAAAACCCACGATGACAGCATAGAGAGGAGTGAAAGGCACATGGCCTCAGCCACCATGTCTCTGCTATTGGTTTTGGCACAGGAGAGACTTTCCCTTGCAGGGGGAAAAGGTAGGCAGAGGGCCCACACCAACCCCTATCCTTACCACAGAGGCCTGCAGTTCCTACTGGAATAGGATTCCACAGCCCTTGCAAGCCCAGAGCCAAGTACAGGGAACTACCTAGAATATATGCATTGCATCCCTCTAGAATAGGAGCACATGCTGGGCACTCCCCACCCCCCGTCCTCATGACCCAAGCCAATTCAGTATGGTGCCAACTTGAAACAACAGCCATTGTGGGAGTGTGCCTCACCCCAGGGCCAGTAGCCATGGTGCTTCCCCAGCCTTAAAGATTCCTAGTCATCTCAGCACACTCACAGGAGTGGCTACAGTGCCCTGATCCTGGTGGCTTGAGGCCTGGACCCAGGGGCAGCAGTGACCCCAGCTCTGCCCATCCAGGAAGCCAATCCCCGGCTGCTGAACTGACACATTCCCAGAGATCAGATAGGCAGACTGCCCCTCCCCTGAAAGTGGGCTGAGTCTGTGTGCCCAAGGTCCAAACCTGGAAAAACAGCTCACAGGTCCCTACCCTAATGTACACACCCCAAGGCCAGTGGAAGAAAAGCGCACCCTCAACCTTATGGAGAAGCAGCCTGGTGAAGCAGCCTTATACGAAATGCTTAGTGGAGTCCTACAACTAGAAGAGAAGGAATGATAACAATCATCGTGAAAGCACCCCAAAATATAAAACTTACTGATAAAATAGATAGACAAATTAGAAAGAGAAAGGAATCAAACCTCAGCAATACAGAAAACCACCAAACTGCAAGGATGAACTATAAGAGAGAAAGAAAGGAACAAAGGATACACAAAACAATAAAAAACAAAACAAACAAAAAATAATAATAATGACAGTAGTAAGACCTCATATATCAATAATAACCTTGAATGTAAATGGATTAAATGCCTCAATTAAAAAACATAAACTGGCTGACTGGATAAAAAATCACAATCATCCATATGCTGTCTACAATCAACCTACCTTACCTACAAAGACACACATAGCTGAAAGTGAAGGGATGAAAAAGATATTCCACCAAAATGGAAGACAAAAATGAACAGGATGAGCTATGCTTACATCAGATAGAGCAGACTTTAAATCAAAATCTGTACTAAGAGATGAAGAAGGGCATTATATAATGATAAAGGAATCAATACAGCAAGAGGATGTAACAATTGTAAATATATATGCACCCAACACTAGAGCAACCAAATATTACTGGATTTAAAGGGAGATGCTAACACAGTAATAGTTGGGGACTTTAACACTTCCCTCTCAGCATTGGACAGATCATCAAAACAGAAAATCAACAAAGAAATATCAGATTTAAATGGCTCCATAGACCAGATAGACCTAACATTATATATATTGCACATAGACACAAGGACCAGATAACTTATCTTTTTAGTTCAAAGGACTCTGGATCAAGAGGAGCTACATCTGGATCTGTAGAAACAATTGCAGATCATTCATGTCTCCTGGGCTCTCAGCTAAAAATATTGATGAGATGGAATTTCTGGGTTGTCTTCCTTAAAAAGTGGACAAGTGTGTTCTTCATATGGGAAAGGAAGGGAACTGACCCAAAGGGTGAACTGTGATCCCTTGTAGTACTGCTTATGCTCTTATATAATTCTCCTCCCTTGAGTGTGGGCTGGACCTGGTGACTTGCTTTTAACAACAGAATACAGCAAAATTGATGGGATGCCTCTTCTAGGGTTAGGTTACAGAGACTATGGCTCCCCTCTTGCATGTCCTTTCTTTCTTTCTTGTTTGCTCACTCTGATGGTAGCTGGCTGCCATGCATGCTGCCCCTTGGAGAGGCCCACATGGCAGGGAAGACAAAGGAGACCTCCAGCCAGACACCTAGTGAGAACTGTGGCCTTCAGTCCAACAGCTCGTGAGGAACTGAATCCTGTCGACAACCACATGAAGAGTTTCAAAGCCTTCAGCGAGACTGCAGTCCTGGCCAGCCCCTTGGCTACAGCCTCATAAGAGACTTGATGAAGGGGGGATTACAATGTATCCCCCACCCCGCCATTCACATGTTGAAGCCCTAACCCCCAGTGTGATTATATTAGCAGACAGGGCCCATAAGGAGGTACTGAAGGTTAAATGAGGTTATAAATGTTGGGGCTGAATGCAATAGAACTGGTGTCTTCATAAGAAGAGAAAGACACTGGAAATCTCTCACTGCGCATGCACAGAAGAAAGACCATGCAAGGACACAGTGAGAAGGTGGCCGTCAACTAGCCAGAAAGAGAGGCCTTGCCAGAAACCAACTCTGCTGGCACCTTGATCTTGGACTTCCAGCCTTCAGAACTGTGAGGAAAAAAAATTATGCTGTTTAAGCCACCTGGTCAGTGATACTTTTTATGGCAGCCCTAGTAGACTAATACAGTATGTCACTAAGAGGTCCCTGGATTCTCAACCCACAGAAACTTTGAGATTATAAGTGTTTATTGTTTTGAGCTGTCAAATTTTTGGGTAGTTCGTTATGCAGTGATTGATAATTAATACATTAGCTTACTTTTTTCTCTATATCCTCTTTGATTTTCGTCCTCAAACAATGAGCAAATGGAGTACCTGCTTCAAATTCTTGCTTTCCCAGAAAAGCAGAAGTCAGTCTTACTGGCTGATAAAGAATCGTGCCAATTTCTAGTCACTAATAATACTTCCTGAAACATTTTTATTTCCCAGCAGAGTAAAAAACAACTCTTGTTTAGATTCAGATTTGGGTGCAAATAGATAAGGACAAAATAATTGCAGTGATTTGGAGTTCATGGACTCCTGTGTATATTTGTATGGCTCATCATATATACCGTGTACACACACACACACACATACACAAATTGTTGTAATTCTATATATGTCCATATACATATATATTAATGAATTACTGCAATTCTGTAATTCCTTTAAGGACAACATTAACATGTTGGATGTTTCTAGGTGATCTTAATTATACATCCTTTGAGATGAACCTGTATTTCCTAGAAGTGGAAGAAAATAATTTGCTGAGATGTCAACTGGAGATTCTTCCCGGAAAACCCTGGAAATGGAGAGCTTCCACACAAGGTTCAGTGCCTGGACACCTTTTAGCAACAAGTCATTAAATAGGCAGGTGAGTTACATACTCTAGAATAAAACAAGTTTAATTGTAAGGTTAATTTTACTGTGATAGATTCAGTCTTATGTTGCCGTGTTGTAAAAGAAAAATCCTCTAAAGAATTTAGTTTTTGTGTTACTTTAAACAAAAATAAACCTAGCTTTGTCTGTTCCAAAGATAGTCTCTTCTCACCTCAGTCTCTATTTCCAATATTATAGTGGGTGACAGATCTGCTCTCCCTTCACTTTGTACCTCCAGGGACAAAATAGAGACCTCCAGGACATACACGGATTGCTGTTTGGGGGGAGGAGAACAGAGGAAGGTTCATATATGCTTCTGTGTGTGTTTCTTTAATCCTCTCTTCCCAAGTGTATGGTTTCACGTGTCCTGGGGTTGCCCACTAACTTTTTAAAGCATTGCAGGAAGTAGTCATTGAATGGCTTAGGACAGCTCTGCTGGTGCTTAATGGAGAAGGCAAATTGGGTCCTCGGACCTCTCATGGGTTCAGCCTTGTTCACAAGGGAAGGACAGGGCTGGTACCTGAGTGTTAAAAAGACAGGGCTAAAGACAGTAAATCTCTATATGTCTATCTGAGCAACACTGGATCCAAACCCAGGTTTTGGAGATGCTGGTCCTTGGTGTGTGTCTTCCTTGGAAACACAACTAACAATGACTATTTAGCAATATTTATTAACTTTCTGTTTGGTGGGTGTTATGAAGATCCAGGGCTGTGGGTGAGTAAAATCATACCTACTTCAAATGGTTCTGTTCTGGGCCGGCCCGTGGCTCACTCGGGAGAGTGCGGTGCTGATAACACCAAGGCCCCGGGTTCGGATCCCATATAGGGATGGCCGGTCAGCTCACTGGGTGAGCGTGGTGCTGACAACACCAAGTCAAGGGTAAAGATCCCCTTACCGGTCATCTTTAAAAAAACAAACAAACAAACAAACAAACAAAAAACAAATGGTTCTGTTTTCACAATTAAATGAGTGTAACCTATATGTGTTTTCAAGATGAAGTGTATGGAATCTGTGTCCCTCAGCCACATTAGCCTAAGTAGAAACAAGAACCAGGAATCATTATCTCTTTGTTTTCCAAAGAGGCCTTCCTTGGGCTCCTCTGTAATTATATCTCCGCCAGCCTTTCCCACCAGCCCACCCAACAAGCCTAGGCTGGTCTGCATCCCTGGGTAAAAACAGTTTAAGCTGAAAGCAGAGAACTTGTACTACATATATGAAAGGACTTTTGTGAATTATAATGTGCTATGCAAATATTAGCTGTGTGGTTGCTGGTAGATTGTCTGAAGATTGCTTAGCAACTAAGAACATATTGAATTGTACAGCAAAATGTCATTTTTCCCCTTATAGCTCTTTCAGGAAAGAGTTGCTCTTATAAGTCATTGGTTTGACCTGTGGACTAACAAGCAACGTCAAGAATTTTTATTCACGATTTTTTCACGATGCACTAAATCACAATTAAGGTAAATGTAGCCTAATGTTGTAATTATCATTGGTTCTTAAAGAAAATGAAATATAGTAAAATATTTATATAATCTTTAAGGATTTCTTTTTCTTTTTTTTTCCCTAGAAAAAAAGTAAAGTAATTGATATTTTAGGGTTTATAACAGGGGTTATAAAGCAATTTTAATTTCAGGGTTTTCTAGGCCTGTTTTCTCCTAGAGGCTGAAATGGAGTCTTGGGAAGCATTAACACCTTCTTACCATTGTGGGACTTTTGTTTTTGCAAAAACTTGTCAATGGCTTCAGCCAGTGAGTTTTTAACATTCTCCTAGTATGTTAAATTCTCCTTGGACCTATCAGACAGACAATATATTCCAAATGGATATCTGGTGCATAGGTAGTCACTCCATAAATAATTGTTAAATGAATAGATGGATCTGAACAATAGACGAAAAATGATAACAGTAGCAGGATTTAGGAATTTGGGCAAGACTTATATAGCAGTGGTCAATGATTGCCAATAGGTCTGTGTTCTTATTTTTCCCTTTCCCTCCTGTTCTGTCTGTAATTTACTTTAAAATACTTCCGCATAGACAGAGTGACATTTGTTAGTTGAAATTACACCCAGGGGCAGCTAGTGTTCTGATAAGGAATTAACATCCTAGGGGTGGTCAGCTAGCTCTACATTGCAAAGGTCACAATACCTCAGTTATTATCAGATACTTTGATAGTTAACATAGCAAATATCAGACATTATATATTATCAGAGCGACCAGTGGCTTGTCAGCTAGCTGGGTGAATGTTAGAAACAGACTCTGGTGAAATTAAAGGTATTCAAGATGTGTGGACTGGCCAAAATCTTCTAGAGAACCCTCCAGCATGCCTGATTGAAGAATCCAGCCAGGCAGGCAGCAGGTGCCTGTATAGATGGTTACCTGTGCTTCGATCCCACATTAACGGCCTTGTGTCAGTCGGAGAGATTTCTGGTAGACTGAGGCCAACAACAAGTATAATAATAAACTGCTGTTTCTGCAACATTGTCCTATCTCAATTGAATGAACCTCTCACCCAGAGGACAGAGAGCTGGGACTTCATCAGACTTAAAGAGGAAACTGTATTAAGTGTTAAGTAGTTTGGGCTTATTGACTAATGTTTATTTAGTGAAACTCTAGGTATGGCAGCATTTGGTGTTGGTCACCTTTGCTATGCCCTAGTGGCAAGGTTGTGGGAGAGCCTAACCTTCAGATTTCTTACGTAGCTACCAAAAAGTATCTGAAAGTTGTGTGTGACTAAATTGGTGTATGTTAGCTTGCAATAACTGCTTCCAACTCCTGCTTACATATTTTTCTGCCCATCTCTTTTGTTCAGCCATTTCTTCTCTCCTGCACTGGCAGTTGATTTCTGCTTCCATGGGCCCAAAGCAAATTATTAGCTGACTCTTCCTGAGGGAGTGACTGGCAGGAGACAGACCTCTTCCTGACTCTATTAAAACAGGCTGCAAAGACAGGCCACAGAAAAATAGGCTCTTCTGTCAATGTTTAAAAATCAGGGGAAAGGGACATTTTATGACAGTCATTGGCCATGTTTCCTTTTACTCCAACTTTGCAGCTTTCACAAGAAAACAATAGACCAAATCCCATATCCATAATTGCTCTGTGGTGCATCATAGTCTCGTCTCCCGTATCATAAACCAAGCAATTTTAGTTGTAACCACTGGAGGTCATTAGAGATCTTGTATATTTTGAAACAGATTAACATTAGGCCTGATACTTTGTCACTGAAAACTGCTTCCTTTGTCTGGTACTTTAATTCTTCTTTCCTTTCTTTTCGTTCGTTCGTTTGTTTGTTTCTTTCTTTTTTTGGTGGCTAGCTGGTACAGGGATTGAACCCTGGACCTTGGTGTTATGAGCACCAATGCTCTAAACAACTGAGCTAACCAGCCAGCCCCCTAATTCTTCTTTCTATTAGACCAGAATGTGGAACTAAACTGTTCAGTGAAACTACTTCACTTTGTTTGATAGCAGCTGCATTTCTGCAGAAAGCAGTATGTATTTCATAGTTCCATGAAGCTATTATTACATGTTCTGGGCTGCTGATTTCAGGTGACATTGTATGTGAGTTTCTGGTTACTAGAGTTGGCCTCCTGAACCATCTATAATTTGTAGTGGTAGTTTCTGTTGTTGAACATCATTTATTCCCCAAAGTCTACATTAAGTCTTTCTCACACTTCTTCTTTCTCAGTTTGAGTTAAGCTCAATTTTCATTAAATCTAAAAGCCCAGCTCATTTCTTTTTTTTTTTTTCCTTTTTGTCTTTTTTTTTTTTTTTTTTTTTTTTTTTTTTTTTTTTTTTTTTTTTTTTT